CTCATTCGCTCGAAACTATTTTTAATCAGTGATCTTAGAGATAAAGATAAATAAATAAAAATTCGAGGATGCCAACAACTTGTTTTTAATTATTTTAGACTAAACAAAGTAAGAAAAGCAAGTGGGACGCAAGGGGGTTACTGAGACTGCAAGAAACAGAGACGACAATAAAAGAACAAGATTCAAGGAGGTCGTAGTTGACTGTAAAGCAGGAAGCCAGACGGTCGGGAAGTGAGAGAGAGTAGACTGTTGGCATAGAACTTAGGGTTACAACTAAAAATGTCAAGAGTGAAATTATGAGAGCTAGTTACCAAACTAGTACCGAGCTTAAATTCCATGAAGTCGAGATACCATATAGAAAATCTCATCAGAGCAATGAACGCGGGAATATTTATAGAAGACCCAAAAGAAAGTTACATGACAGCAGTGGGAAAGTTACTGAAATGGAGATGTTATGTCAGGACCGATAACGTTGCCTATTCTACTTTGGATTTTGTCAACAATCTTTGGACAAATAGACGAAGCACCAAACTAGATGTAGCAGAAATAAACTATGTAGTTTCGAATGGTAAGTTTATGCATGTGCAAAATAATAGATCCTGTTTAGAAGTATTGTCGAGCACGACAGACTGGAGAGATAGATAGATAGATAGATAGATAGATAGATAGAGAGAGAGAGAGAGAGAGAGAGATATTGGTGAGAAAGGTTTTCTAGCACGATAATTGATTAATTAAGAATTTTCACGCTAATGATACAGGACTAGTTTCGGCAGGTTTTTTCTCACTAAAATGAGGTGAAAAATACTTGTGTACCCGACACGAATGGATCTGGAAAACAGATTTGCTTCGAGAATAACAGATAAATAAGGACATCTTCATCTTTTCTGAACATTAACATAGGTAACGGCTATGCGCGTAATGTAAAAGATGTCGGGTCGGAATTCAAATTCCGTTCAATTTTGCACAGATCCCTTTGAACACGGCATGAATCTGATTCTTCTCCACCCCCTAATCTAGCTACTGTGTTCGCCATCTTTTTGGTCTCAGTGTAAGAGAATGAAAACTCAGAATTCCAGAATCGAAGAAAAGGCGAAGGAAAACCACTTCATCATCATACTCCAATAGTCATTTGCCATTCACAGAGATAATAGCTATATAACTGTAGAGGGTCGTAATCGCCTTCATTCTAAAGCGGGTATAACATTACAAATGAAAACAAAAAGAAAACAACAACAAAAATGAACCAAAAACAAAATATATTTAAATGTAGGGCAACTCTGTACCTGGACGAATAGCATAAAGTACATCTTTAAAATTGTAAAATCAATGATTTCTTATTGAACATTAAAAGAACAGGAATTAATATCACAGAAGTTAACAGTTGATATTACATTTAATATTTTTGAAAATCAACCTTGATTGGGAAGAAGCCAGAGGAGAGTCCCACAAGCGCAAAGTGTGAGAAAAGAAACTTTTATTATATAATTTACGGTTGCATCTAACCATTTATTATGTAACCTTGCTACCAATCTAGTGCCATTGACAAAAACTCATAAAAAAATTACCATGAAAATATTCATAGAAAAGGCACAAGGAAGCTGGGTTACGGTGTTGGGAAAGTGACTGAAGCCAAGATGCCAGATCAGGACCAATAACATTGCAGATTCTTCCTTGTATTTCTCTAAATATATAGCAGGAGCACCACACCAGATATGGCAGCAATATTCAATGCATTGATGAATAGTAGACTTATAAATGTGTAATATATATTCATAGAACTTACGGTTATATCTAGTCATTTTTAAAAAAGATTATTTCACCCTAAGCAAGGCGGGAATGCCTCTACTACGCAGGGGGGCTATAGACATTGAAGGTGAAAGAAAAGACTGTGTATAGGTGTGTGGGACAAGGAAAGCTGAACGGGGTTCAAAAATAGAAGATGGCGATTGACGTTGTATTTAAATTTTTGAAAATTATAGTTATCAGGGAAGGAAGTAAACGGAAGGGAATTCCACAGGCGGGAAGTGCGAGAAAATAAACTGTTGGAGTAGAAGAGGCGGTTAGATTTAACTAATTCACCAGTAAACGGGTGGGACCTAGATGCCAATCTAATAGCACGCTTAAACTCACCTTTTCCGGCCACCGGGGGAAAAAAAGCAGTAGCCATAAAAATATTTGTCGAAAAGACAGAGGGAGGCATACCACGCCGGTGAGAAAGTGACTGAAGTCGAGATGCTAAGTCAGGATTGATTACATTGCAGATCCTTCTTTGGATTAGACTATTTTCCTCGTCTTTGTTGTCACAGTATTTCGGCCGTTTTGCCCTCTAACCTTCTAATCCGGGTAACCTACAGGGATTTCCAAACTGAACACTTTATTTAATCTATGGAAGCAGACTGTTCACATTCTGCGAGAAGACGAAAGAAATATTTTCACCTTAAGCTAAACTAAAAACTAGCTTAAAAATATAAACAGGCTGATATTTATTTGTAAATTAGCGTAATTGTCATTCAGAAATAAATATCTCAGTCAGTTATGTGCCATGCGTGATACACGCTTCGGCGATCATGTATCTTTCATTATATGACTGACGAAACAGATTTTTTTTCCGCAGTAGGCTGCCATTTCTTTCTGTGGTAGAAAAGTCATGAATCGAAAGATACATGATCGCCTAAGTGTGTATCACACATGGCACATAACTGACTGACTACAGTTGTAAATGTCATAAAACTAATTTTACTTCTTGATTCCACATTAAAATGCAATATTCAAGAGAGGATTACACAATTTGCAAAAGTTCCGCTGAGCAACACTCACGAGTAACAAGTAATGCAAACAAATCTTTTGTTTTTGATTTGTAGAGCTATGAATGTGTTCACAGCAGTGTCAAATGACAACATTTAGGATAGCATGCACTCTAGATTTTTAATTACAATTAATTATCATTGTGGTGTTAAATAACAACATTTAGTATAACATATGAACTTTATTTTTTAAATAACATGCATTCTAGGGCATTTTAAACATTTATAAATATTTATGAATGTATTGCTAGTAATAGTTTTTTACAAAATATTTCTTGTATTAAAACCTATTTTTACACTTTCATAGTGTTTTGACCCCAGTTTAGAGGTTAACTATTTGCCCATAGCTAGGACCCTAACAGGTGCTACCACAATTAAAAGGTGGTTCGACGCTCCTCAAAACTTCCTGATCAAATGATTTGCTGCTGGACGTAGTTTATCGTCATACCCAGGACGGAAAGTTGTACTGAGCATCACCCACAAGTAACAAGCAACGTAAACACATCCTTCGTTCTTGATTTGTAGATCTATGGATGTGTTCGCACCAATCATTATTTCTCACAGCAGTGCCAAATAACAACATTTGGAATAGCATAAACTTTATATTGCTAATTACAATTCATTATCATTTTGGTGTTAAATAACAACATTGAGACTATTTACATTATTGGGCTATTGTCCTCATCTTTGTCGCCATATTTATTACAAAGTTTCGGCCGTTGTACCCTCCGGCCTTCTTCAGGTGGTTGGAATGTCGAACTGAACCCTTTATTTCGCTCACTGGGATTAGACTGCTCTAGTTTCACGTGCCATGTCTAATGGATGTCAGTTATCAGCTATCTCCTGTTAATTCCCCTCTCCAAGTTCTCCACAGCCTTAACCGGGTATTGAACTCTTTGGGTCCTGTCACTGGATCTAACCAACACCTTTATTCATTGTGCCATGTGTCCTTGACTAATTGGCGTTCAAAGGTCTTCTGTAAACGAGCTACACCAGACCGATACCCGCTTCCGGACCATTACGTTTGATCTATGCCCTTGGTATCTATTTTATACAAAACTTATTATAAAACCTCGCACTATACTCGAATATATACAGTAATATATTCATCAAATATATGTCTCCATGGTCTATATGTTTGAGATTAAATCAAAAATGAATTTAAATTTCATATTTCTATTTGCATAATAAAACTTAACATCTTCAAAACCCGTTATTATGAATATTGGCGATAACCACAATATAGATTATAAGCTGAACACAAGGAAAAAAGAAGGGAGGTGAATTAATAATGGAAAAATGACTGGTGGTTAATTAATTTAAACCTTTTAAAACCCTTTATTCTACATTCATCATCATCACTTGATAAGACACCAGAAGTGTTGAAAAAAAATGGCTATTTTTGTAGTGATTTTATAACATATTTATGTTATAATTATCGAATAAATAAAATTATATATATATATATATATATATATATATATATATATCAGCTGTGCAAATTTTAGCTCTCTTATTATATATGCACCTCCATTTTAATACCGGCAGCACAGCCTCTGCATTATGATATATATATATATATATATATATATATATATATATATATATATATATATCAGCTAAATAACGAAGTTCATATTTGCATGAATCCTTTATATATATATATATAAATAAATAAATATATATATATATATATACACACACACAACCACACACACACACACACACACAACCACACACACACACACACACACACATATATATATATATATATGTGTGTGTGTGTGTATGTATGTATGTATATGGATGTATGTGTGTTTGTATGTGATGTCAAAAGCGAAAAACTCTCCTAAAAAGAATACGTTTAAATATTTAGATCTTTTATATATATATATATATATATATATATATATATATATATATATATATATATATATATATATATATTTGTGTGTGTGTGTGTCAAAGCGAAAACCTGTCGTTAAAAAGAACACATTTAAATATTTGCATCTTAATGGGTTTTTGAAATGAAATATCCTGAAATTTCTGACGTTTTGAAATGCAAAAATTCGAATCGTGAAAGAAAAAACAAATAGTATTTTAATGACTCTTACAATGGATGTTGAAGTGTCACAGTGAATCTTGTTCTAGTGTAATTAACTGAACATAAATAAAGACATAGACTCAATTTCAGAGTCATTTGAGGAGGAAAACAAACAAACAACAACAAGGAGAAAAAGATGAAAGAGAAAAGCGTGCGACGACGAAGTGCAAGGTGAGATTAAGGAGGACAAGCCGAAAAGAAAAGGTGAAATATGCTGCGAAACTAAAAATGCTGATGTAGGGAAGAAAAAGGAAAAGAAAATATAGACGTAGAACATGGATGAGAGAGGGAGAGAGTGAGAGAGAGAAAGAGAGGGAGGAGAAAGTAAGAAAGAAAGAAAGAAAGAAAAATGAAAAGAAAATGTAGACGTAGAACATGGATGAGAGAGGGAGAGAGTGAGAGAGAGAAAGAGAGGGAGGAGAAAGTAAGAAAGAAAGAAAAAGGAAAAGAAAATGTAGACGGAGAACATGAATGAGAGAGGGAGAGAAAGTGAGAGAGAGAGAAAGAGAGGGAGGAGAAAGTAAGAAAGAAAGAAAAGGAAAAGAAAATGTAGACGTAGAACATGAATGAGAGAGGGAGAGAGAGTGAGAGAAAGAGAGGGAGGAGAAAGTAAGAAAGAAAGAAAAAGGAAAAGAAAATGTAGACGTAGAACATGGATGAGAGAGGGAGAGAGAGTGAGAGAGAAAGAGAGGGAGGAGAAAGTAAGAAAGAAAGAAAAAGGAAAAGAAAATGTAGACGTAGAACATGAATGAGAGAGGGAGAGAGAGTGAGAGAAAGAGAGAGAGGAGAAAGTAAGAAAGAAAGAAAAAGGAAAAGAAAATGTAGACGTAGAACATGAATGAGAGAGGGAGAGAGAGAGAGAGAGAAAGAGAGGAGGAGAAAGTAAGAAAAGAAAGAAAAAAAGGAAAAAAAATGTAGACGGAGAACATGAATGAGAGAGGGAGAGAAAGGAGAGAGAGAGAAAGAGAGGGAGGAGAAAGTAAGAAAGAAAGAAAAGGAAAAGAAAATGTAGATGTAGAACATGAATGAGAGAGGGAGAGAGGAGAGAAAGAGAGGGGAGGAGAAAGTAAGAAAGAAAGAAAAGGAAAAGAAAATGTAGACGTAGAACATGGATGAGAGAGGAGAGAGAGGAGAGAGAAAGAGAGGGAGGAGAAAGTAAGAAAAAAAGAAAAAGGAAAAGAAAATGTAGACGTAGAACATGAATGAGAGAGGGAGAGAGAGTGAGAGAGAGAAAGAGAGGGAGGAGAAAGTAAGAAAGAAAGAAAAAGGAAAAGAAAATGTAGACGGAGAACATGAATGAGAGAGGGAGAGAGAGGAGAGAGAGAAAGAGGGGAGGAGAAAGAAAAAGAAAGAAAAAGGAAAAGAAAATGTAGACGGAGAACATGAATGAGAGAGGGAGAGAAAGTGAGAGAGAGAGAAAGAGAGGGAGGAGAAAGTAAGAAAGAAAGAAAAGGAAAAGAAAATGTAGACGTAGAACATGAATGAGAGAGGGAGAGAGAGTGAGAGAAAGAGAGGGAGGAGAAAGTAAGAAAGAAAGAAAAAGGAAAAGAAAATGTAGACGTAGAACATGGATGAGAGAGGGAGAGAGAGTGAGAGAGAAAGAGAGGGAGGAGAAAGTAAGAAAGAAAGAAAAAGGAAAAGAAAATGTAGACGTAGAACATGGATATGAGAGGGAGGGAGAGAGAGAGAGTGAGGGAGGTGAAAGTAAGAAAGAAAGAAAAAGGAAAAGAAAATGTAGACGTAGAACATGAATGAGAGAGGGGGAGAGTGAGAGAGAGAAAGAGATGGAGGAGAAAGTAAGAAAGAAAAGAAAAAGGAAAAGAAAATGTAGACGTAGAACATGGATGAGAGAGGGAGAGAGAGAGAGAGAAAGAGGGAGGAGAAAGTAAGAAAGAAAGAAAAAGGAAAAAGAAAATGTAGACGTAGAACATGAATGAGAGAGGGAGAGAGAGAGAGAAAGAGAGAGAGGAGAAAGTAAGAAAGAAAAAAAAGGAAAAGAAAATGTAGACGTAAAACATGGATGAGAGAGGGAGAGAGAGTGAGAGAGAGAAAGAGGGAGGAGAAAGTAAGAAAGAAAGAAAAAGGAAAAGAAAATGTAGACGTAGAACATGGATGAGAGAAGGAGGGAGAGAGAGAAAGAGAGGAAGGAGAAAGTAAGAAAGAAAGAAAAAGGAAAAGAAAATGTAGACGTAGAACATGGATGAGAGAGGGAGGGAGAGAGAGAAAGTGAGGGAGGTGAAAGTAAGAAAGAAAGAAAAAGGAAAAGAAAATGTAGACGTAGAACATGAATGAGAGAGGGGGAGAGTGAGAGAGAGAAAGAGAGGGAGGAGAAAGTAAGAAAGAAAGAAAAAGGGAGAGAAGATGAAAGACGTGTAAGAAGAAGAAGAAGGAAAAAAAGAAGGTAGGTGAATTAAGAATGGAACAAAATTAATTCAAGAAATAAAAGATATATACATCTTGAGTTTCTAGTTCTTTCAACTCTGTACTTCTGACGTCCCCGCCTGAAATCTGAAATTTTATTCAGTTATTATTACTATTTTTTTCCTTTCCCAATAGGAGTAGATAGGTTTGTCCATCGTCCGGTTTAACGCTCCTTCCCGGCCTTTTGAACAGGAGTAGAGGTTTATCACTTGTCCCCTGTTTAGGATTGGGCTTCCGGTTGCTTCTAAAGTCATCCTATTCTCTTTCACTCCAGGTAGCCTCTTGCTCCTTAAAGATGGTAAAAGATCGGAAAGTAATTAATGTACGAGAGGTATGATCAAAACATCAAACTTTGACAATAAAAAAAAATCGTCCGGTTCATACTCCTCCTCGGTGTTTTGAACAGGAGTAGAGGTTTATCCCTTCTTTTCTTTTTAAGATTGGGTTTCTGGTTCCTTTTAAAGTCTACTTCTACTCTATAATTCTAACTATACTTTCAGTCATTAATTAAATCTTGAAACCTTTAAGCCTATAATTAGCTGCTATCTTTCCTGAAAGCGCCAAGAATTTCATTTCTTATCTATTTTTACGCTAATAAAACTCAACACAGTACCCTCTAATTTGAGAAACTCATGGACTTTTATTGGTTGAACATTAGAAAAATAAAGAAAAAGGTATAGAATGAGAGAGGGAGAGAGAGGAAATACGTGTATGAAACGGGGATTCTGAAGAGAAGAAAACGAGGCCACTGATGAAAAGGACACTCTCCACATTGGGTATATTGTATACTAGCAGTAGAGCCCGGCGTTGCCCGGGGATGTAACAGTAAGAGATAGATCAAGTATCGACCATCATAAAGACTGAAAAATGAAATTGACAAAGATTATTGTTTAAGGTTGACGGACACGCATGTCTTAATTACTTTGTTTTTTTTTTTTAGAATTGGTCAAACCCAAACTCAAACAAAAGCATTTTTTCAATCGTTATGAGTCTACCGATTGAATAGAATTTTATTATAAACAATTGTCTTGTAAATGGAATTTTTAAAGCATTCTAAATGTAAAATAAAGAAAAAAGTGTGCAAGACAATAAGAAACACTACCTGCCAAAAAAAAAAAGTGTGGTTTTGTTGAAATCGGTTGAAAAATGTAGGAAATCCGATCCCATATATAAACGAACACAGAAACACACACAAAAACAACCTGGGTTTTATAAGTATAACTCGATATGTGTTGCCCCCCTTTCATTCTCGCCTCTTAATCATGTTTCAAATTGATTTCATGCAAAAACAATTGTGTTTTTCCAATTTTTGGCGCTGTCAGAACCACCACAATGTAATTTTACGTAGTCCTGTGAAGTTTTGTTGAAATCGGTTGAAAAATGTAGGTAATCCGATCCAATATATAAACGGACACACACACACACACACAAACACACACACAACCTGGGTTTTATAATAAGTATGATATATTTTCAAGAATTGGAAAAACTTCCGGGATTTCGCATTGGCGGCCAAAATCTTTACAATATAAGATACGCAGATGACACGGCACTGCTCGCAGACACGGAAAAGAAATTACAAAATCTCCTACAGAAGGTAGCAACGGAGAGTCAGAAGAAGAGGACTAAGCATAAACTACAAGAAGACAGAATGCATAGTCATCAGTAAAGTGACGAGCTCAAAATGCGATTTGCAGGTCGAGAACACTAGAATCAAGCAGACGCAGAAGTTTAAATATCTCGGAAGCGTTTTGACAGAGGACGTTAAGTGCGACATTGAGATCCATAGACGTATTGGGATGGCCAAGGACGCATTCCAGAAGCCGGGAAATGTATTGCGAGGGAGGAGGATTTTTTTTGGTAACAAAGAAAAGAATACTGAGCTGTTATGAGACATCTGTCCTTCTTTACAGCAGTGAATATTGGACGATTTCCTCAAAGATGAAGAAGAGACTCGAGGCGACGGAGATGTCGTTCTACAGAAGGATGCTAAGGATATCATGGACCGGGCGTGTGAGCAACGATGAGGTCTTAGAGAGGATGCAGACAAGGAGGAATCTTATACTTAACACCAGGAAGAGGCAGCTGAAGTTTCTGGGACACATAATGAGGAAGGAGGGCCTGGAGAATCTGATACTCACGAGTCGAATAAAGGGAAAGAGAGACAAGGGTAAACAAAGCGTGACATATCTAGCAGGCTTAAGCAAGTGGATGACAGAACGTGTTCTGGGGAAGAAGCAGAGGGAAGGAACTTGTTGAGAGCTGCAAGGGATAGGAGGAGGTGGAGAGCCATGATCGCCTACGTCCTGAAAGGACATGGCACATAAAAATAAAGATTGTATTTCTATTTCTATTTTGTATTTATTGGATTTACGTATACATTACGATAGGCGAGACAATTACTTTGTTATATCTACAATAAATAAAGTATGAAAATGAAAGTACACGAGGGAAGAATAGAAGTGAAGGGGTTCCGTTATCAGATAGAAGTGTATGTATGTGTCCCTGTATCTACGTCTGAATATGTGCGTATCTGACTGTGAATACGTGTGTGTGTGTCTTTTGTTGATTTTTCTCTTTCCTCTTCTCAGTTAATTCCAGAATTTTGTTTTGAAATTCCTTATGCACCAGTTTCATGTCTCGTTGAAACTGCATCTGTCTATTAAAAGTTTCCTCCTGTAGTTGCATCTGGAATGTTTTCTGTTGTTCTAATATTGTCATCTGTTGTTCCGTCTGGAACTTAAAAAATTCCTGGAATATATTTTTGCATTCATCCATCTTCGCAAAAATTTTACACAACGCTTAAATATTGTAGAGGGGGGTGGGTCCTACAAATTTGCAATTCGTGACCTATTTGAGCAAACTGTCTTATCGAGGAAAAAAAATTATTTTCTCAATTAAGAATACGACTGATTTTTTCGTTACTAAGTTGACGTCTTGTCTTTCGAAAAACTTTGCCTAGTTTTTTTTTTTTTTTTTTTTTTATGTGAATCCGAGATTTTGTCGCCGAATTTGTGACGAGCAAGTTTTTTCTTTTTCCTCCGTATGAGTACGAATTTCTTCACCAAATGTAGTGGCGAGCGAATTTTTTTTTCTCCTCCACCGTATGAATCCGAATCCCTTCGCCAACTTTGTTATAGCGGGCGAATTTTTTTTTTTCGTATGAGTTCGAATCCTTGTCGCCAAATAATTGTGTGACGAACGAATTTTTTTTCCTCCGTATGAATTCGAATACCTCATTGCCAAATAATTGTTACGAGCGAATTTTTTTTTTCCTCCGTATGAGTTCGAATCCTCGTGGTCAAATAATTATGTGACGAACGAATTTTTTTTTCCTCCGTATGCGTTCGAATCCTTGTCGCCAAATAGTACTGTGGCGAACGCAATTTTTTTCTTCCACCGAATGAATTCGAATACCTCGTCGCCAAATAACAGTGTCTGAGTATACGTGTGGGTGAGTACTTGTGTGTCTGAGAATGAGTATGTGTCTGTCTGACTATGCTTGTGTGTATTTGTGTTTGTCTGGGCATGTGTGTGTGTGTGTGTCTAAGCATATGTGTGTGTCTATTTGTGTATGTATGTGCCTCTCTTTGTATGTGTGTGTGAGTAGGTGTGTATATGTTTGTGCAAGTATGTGTGCCATGTGTTCTTGAAGAAAATTGTATATAGAGTTATATAGATATGCTATTTTTACTTCAAACATTATTATAGCGGGCATTCGTATTTAAAGTAGGGGCCGCCTTTTTATTCTTACTTTAGATAGTGTGCAATACGTCTATCGGTCTGCATATCCGAGAAATTTTACAAACAAAAAGTGCTCTCCAGCAGAAATTGAACTCGCGCCTGCCCCTTTGTATGAGAAACCAGCGTTTGATCCGGTGTTTTTTACCTCTTAGTTATGAAGAGCGTCACTTTTCAGTAAGATTCCATTTTTCGTTTGAAGAAAACACACTTTTCTTTATTCGATCTCTTTATTCATACTTTTGACTGGTCAGGCCGGTAGATGACAATTGCACTGTCTCAAAAAAACATAGACTCAAACACGTGTATCAGCTAATTATAACATTTATAGCAATATCCTCCTTAGGTTTACCCATACGGATTAACTAGTTTCTCATATATATATATTATCTGTATATTACCTTCCTTAGGTATATAAGTGTTCTATTTTAAATTATTTAAAAAAAAAAATTCAACGTTTATATTTCGGGAATGATATAAAAATAGAGCCACCAATTTTGAAAAATAAAAAGGGAGAATGAAGGAAAAAGAAGAGAGGAAAAATGGGTAAGAAATAAAGAGAGAAAAAGAAATTGCAGATAGCTATCCTATTTGTATAGATTATTAAAACGACTAAGGGACGTAATCAGTAATCACTCATGTATTTGCTAACTTAAGTTGATTTACCTGCTTTCCCACTACAGAGGGGACAGGAAATCTTACTTATTATAAAATGCAGTGTGTGTGTCTGTGTGTGTGTGTGTTCGTTTATATATGGGATCGGATTTCTTACATTTTTCAACCGATTTCAACAAAACTTCACTTTTTTTTGGCAGGTAGTGTTTCTTATTGTCTTTGCACACCTTTTCTTTATTTTTACATTCAGAATGCTTTAAAAATTCCATTTACAAGACAATTGTTTATAATAAAATTCTATTCAATCGATAGACTCATAACGATTGAAAACAATATTTTTGTTTGGGTTTGATCAATTCGTAAAAAAAAAACAAAAAAAAAACAAACTAATTAAGACATGCGTGTCCGTCAACCTTAAACA